TCAATAACAAATTGGCCCATATGAATTTACTACCATTTCTTGCGAATTTATCGTTATATATTGTTCAGTTGTTGTAATTAAGATGTTTTAGTTGTATATTCATTTACTGACACTTTACAGTTATTCTCCCTTAAATTTTATAAACCCTGTATATAAACTAATAGAAAAATTAATATGCATATCTTTAATTTTTCCAGTTTATTTTGTTTGAATTGGGTACTTATACTTTGATCATCATAGAATTCATCATTCGGGGTAAAACATATTAATTTTAATTTATACAGTTTCCTGAATTTTTTTTATTTAACGTCGTTACATTTTTATAAATGAATTTTCACAAAATTTATAAATTTTAATTATCGATCAAACAAGAAAAACTCAATTCAAACAAGATAAATTGTAATAAGGACATGATTCAAAGGAGATTATAAGGACTTATAAGTTAAATTTCCCAAAATAATGTCAACTTGATTGAGTTTTTTTTTATAAAAATTAAATCACATATTTTTTTAAATATAAATTAAGATCCAAACAAGCTCATCCTTCTATCTACTGCTTCTTCTTCTTTTTCTTTTTTTTTTTTCCTTTTTGACAATCTGCTTTCTTTTGTCATTTTTTTATTTGACTCCTCTGTTTTTTTTTTTTTTTTTAAATATCAAATTTGCTGATGCTAGAGTCGTGCTTTGCTGTCTCCACCAGAATTTAGACTTTTATGTATGGACCAAGGATTTTCTTTTTTGGACCAAGGAATATTGAGAGCATAAACTTGAGAACATATAATTCTTTTAAATTATAACATGATACTTATTATAACTAGCAGATACTGAATTTTAAAACAGTACCTTTATTCTTCAATATCGTAAATACTGATTAATTCTCCAAAATCATATAAATTATGTAAATATTTTTAAATTATTCAATTAATAAATATTTTCAGCCACTATTTTTATTTTATTTTAAATAATTATTTTAACAAACACTTATCGTCTCGCCCATGAAAATATGAAAATTTGGCAAGTAAAGATGACACTTATTCAATTATATATAAGCTTCGATTTCCCTTTCTTTAATGATGTATCTTAGTGAACGTTTAAGATCCAATACAATTTAACTAAATTATTATTAAATATACTATATATGATAATTATATCAAGATCAATATAAAAAATATGTTGTGAAAAATTCTGTCCTTGGTTATATGCATGTGAAAAATATTAATGAGAGAGGCAAAACTAACGTCTATGATCTCTACGTCTAAAATAAAAAAAGTTCTTGTTGACTAAAAAATACTTCTAGTATAAGAAAATAATAGAAAAATAACTGTTAAATTTTAAAAAGATAAATAAGTCATGCAGACTATTCTTGCAATGATTTTTATAAGTTACTCCTCCGGTCCTTAATATAGGACCCAATTGTTGAGTTAATTTTGGTCCTAAATATAAGACCTATTTCTCATATTTATCAGTTTTCTCTAAATTACCCCTATAAATACCCACTCAATTATAATCAAGTAAAAGAGGGAGAGGGGTATTAAGAAAAATGATTATGGTGTTTTAGGAAAAACATGTCACATTCTTTATAATTAACTAATTTACCTAACTTCCTTAATCTAATCAAATTAGTTAAATGAGTCTTATATTAAGGACCGGAGGAGTAAAATCTATCAAAATCACCTATTTATCATTTAAAAATATTTTTCTGTCATTTTCCTAAAAAAAGTATGAGATTATTTTCTTTCCTTCTACTTTTTCTATCTTTCTTTTATTTTAAAAATACTTCTTCAATGTATGATTTCGAAAGCGATCTAAATTTGTATTTTTGGTAGAACACAATTTTAGTTTTGGACTACTATTAATTAAATATAATTTCCCCATCTTTTAATTAATAAGAAGCGTGATTATTATTTTAAATAAACATATTTTCTTATATCAAAGTGAGGGGGCTGTATAGCTTAGCTTTCAAGAAAATTAGGAGCTGACTAAGAATATGATTCATATACTGTGGTGCGTGGGCTCTCATTGGCTCATAACTTAATGGCACTAAATGTTTCCTTTAAATTTTTTCTTTAAGCGTGAGATTGTGAGTTTAAACTTATCATATAGAGAGTATTATAGATGTTTAGATTATTTGAAAAAATAATAATAACCTCATATCCCACGAAATATAAATTCAAAGCCTGCAATTGATACGAAAATTTCGTTAATAGATAATATGTAAATATTCTTGTAAGCGTTGTCTAAGCAAGAAGACAAACCATCTATTAGAAACTTTGTTTATTCTTATAATAAGAAATATTCATGACTTTGAGAAAAGGTCAATTTTTATTTTTATTTTTTATATAGAGCATATATTGATGCATATACATGGAAAAAAGGAAGTTTCTCCCAATAATTTGTTCAATATTCTCTTCATGCAACCCACACTCTAAGGTCGTTTTCTTCTTCAAATTGTTCTTCTTATTCTTTCCTCTTTTTTTTTTTTAATTTTCTTTTAGTTGAATCTTCAAACAATTTATAATATGAACGTTTGGTCTTCAAGGTTTTGAATAATAATAATAATAATAATAATTATTCCCTTGACTTTCCGTGTGTGTTCTTCTCTTCACAAACTTATCTGAATCACCACCAAAGCCAAGGCTTCAAAATTATATACTCCTCCGGTCCTTATTATAAGACCCAATTTGACTTTTTATTTGGTCCTAATTATAAGACCCAATCCATTTTCTCTCTTATATTTTTGCATTTTTTTCCAAGATAATCCTTCTAATAATGATAGTTTTAGCCAATATACTTAATTAGCAAGGATATTTTAGGAATAATAACACTTATTTATTATAAATAACCAACTTAACTTACTTCCTTAATCTCCTCAAATAAGTCAATTGGGTCTTATAATTAGGACCGGAGGAGTACATTGCATCCAATTAATACCCAAAATTCTCAAAATAATTATATTGAAAGCAATGGTTCTCATGCCGCTGGTCTATTCCGTCCCAGAAATTTATTTACTTTAATTAATTAATATTTTTCACAGAAGCCTGCATGCCTTTAAAATAATTAGACTATTTTATATGTCGTGTGATGTGTCTCTGATCTGTCTTCCTCCTAAACCTTATGTATTGGCTCGAAAATTAATCGATAAGTTTTTATAATTTTACATTATTTTTAGGGTTCTAATAATTTTTTTAATTTTTAATTATGTTCTTATAATTTTATCTAAATTTTAATTCGATCCTTTGTAGTCCTTTGTAGTTTCAGATGACCGGTAGAAAGTGTTCGCGGCAGCACTTACAAGGAAATGGTCAACCTGAGTTGTTTCTAAGAACTACTACCTCCAGTGTCAATTATATAAATTAGTTGACTAATTTAAGAAGATTAAAAAAATAAGTTAAGTTAGTTATTTATAATAAATAAGTATAATTTTCTTAAAATATCCTCACTAATCAAGTGTATTGGTTAGAACTAATATTATTATAAAGACTATTTTGAGAAAAAATTCATAAATATGATAGATAAAATGAACCGAGATCTCATATTTAGAACCAAAACAAAAGTCAAACGATATCTTATATTAAAGATCAGTAGTAGTATTTCACAATAACACCAACAAATAGGAAATAAAAATAAAAAACTAATTAAAAATAAAGTAAAATTGGAATTACTAGTAGATTGGTTTTTCCAATTGGCTTTTTCTATGAGAAGCTACAGATGAACCAAGTGGAAAAGACAATTGTGAGAAGCTACGAGAGTCATTAATAAACTCAACCTTTTCTGGCATTTGCTTGTTTGTTTCCTGAGAAAATTGTGACTTAACAATATAAGAGATTGCTCAGGAGAACGAATGGTCACCACCACCTTATAGTTCAAACCTGAACTTTGTGGTGGATATGGCGAAAAGAATATAGTTTTGTTGATATCTCAGGAATTGTAGTTTTTTTTTTTGTGTCAAAAAATAAAAAAACTGTAAAATTAATCCATCAGAAGAGATAAGGCTTTGAAGATTGTACCCTCAAGAAAGACGAGGAAGAAACCGAAGTGAGACACATGACCAACACAGGCAAACACAAGACGCAGACGAAACTTCAAAATTTATCATAATTTGGTCAATTCTAACAATGTGTAACCATGCCAATTCATTGTGTTTGGCGCGTGGAAGATGGAGGAGATGTGATAAAAATTTTTTTTAACGAGTCCAATTTTTAAAAAAATTGGAGAAATGAGATTATAAAATTTTAATAAAGAGAAGGTATATGAGAAAAGATTAATTAAAAAAATAAAAATTTTTAACCCCACTTCTATATTTTTATTAAATCCAACTCATTAAAATTTCTCTCAGCTCCTCTCATATCAAAGAACCAGACAATGAGTTAAGATTAGGAGTTAAATTAGATTATTTTAGTATTTTCGGGGAAAAACTGTTATAACGTACATAGATATATATGAATTCCTTATAAAACCCTCTTAAAATGTCATCCATAGATCCGATTTTCCCCCCCTTATTTTGACTCACCCTAAAATTTCTCTGAAGATAAGAAATAGTTTTGGATGACAAATATAAAATAAATCGTTAGACTTTGAGTAAAACCAGTATACATATACATACAAATAAATATACTATAATATGATCTATTTAGCAAAATAACTATAGGAGTCTATGGCTGCTTCAACTCTGATATTTCCTTTCTTTATGTGTTTAAATAAGAGTTTTGATACACACACACACACATATGATTATTTGCGGGAATTTTAATTAAATTTCTTTTCAGGCTTCCACCTATTTATTTGAGGTTTAATCCCACAACCTCTCCTATTTAAGTTGAAGGCTCTTGACATTAATATGGGTAACATGCGCACACTAACCTGTGAATAACGGTGACACTATTGTCTCGTGGCTACGAATGCCTTGAGAGCCAGGGCTATATTTGTCTCTTTAAAGACAAACACAACAACATTGAATTGACAGTAAAATTTGGACAAACTAATAGACGATAGGTTTAATAAAAGGAACTAGTTCTTCACAACATGACAAATCAATATTCGAATCCTTACTGAGAGAGATATCTACATTTAATGTTTGACAGCGACTCAAACAGTACTACCTTCAACAAGAGAATACCTGTACTGAGGGGGAAAAAAATAAAATTAGTACAAGATTGAGGGTTCGGTTTAAATACTGGAAAGAAAAAAATAATGAATTATATAAAAAAAATTAAGCTTTAGGAGGCGTCCCTTGTCAAGAACTGAACTTACCCGTGTGGTGCCATGTGCTTGGTTCTAAAAACATCATTATCAGGAACCAAGTGCCCCAATAAAGATAAGATCGTGTCTTCCCTCTCTTTACAAAGCACCAACGTTTTTCCTTCCTTTGTGGCTTTGGTCTCTCTCACTTGCCAAAATCACTGCCCCATTTACTGTATCTTATTCTCTTTCTTCTGCATAATATATTAACCACTACTCTCAAATCGTATTATATACATAATTCAATTGACATTTGGTATTACTGGATTGGATTCATACACCCTCAGATCTAATTGAAAATAACTCTTTTGATATACTTTTTTTCATTGTAAAGTTCAAACAATCAATCAAGTTCTTTCCACACAACTTGACCACCGTGGGTTAAAAGTACATGATATGCAATTTAGTACCTTTTTTTTTTTTTTAATAATTTTGCTAAACACAGATATCCTCTTATTAAACATGAATATCTAACTCAGTGGGTATTCAATATGAAGTTGAAATTTTCAATTAATGATTAATTCAAAAATTGGGTTATTGATATCACCAATTAAAGTTGTACTACTCACATAACCGAACTTACTTAGTGAGATAAAGATTTGTCATTACTCCTCCGGTCCTTAATATAAGACCCATTTAACTAATTTGATTAGATTAAGGAAGTTAGGTAAGTTAGGTAATTATAAAAAATGTGACACATTTTTCCTAAAATACCATAATCATCTTTCTTAATACCCCCTATTTCTCTTCTACTTGATTATGGTTAAAGGAGTATCCATAGAGGTAATTTAGAGAAAATTAAAAAATATGATAAATGGGTCTTATATTTAGGACCAAAACCAACTCAACAATTGGGTCCTATATTTAGGACCGGAGGAGTATTAGTTATTAGTTCCCAATAAAGGCATCAAGAACTTGGAAATCAAATACTCTTCTTTTCAAGTAAGCAAGCGAAATGCTTGCCGGGGATCGAGCTTGTGACCTCCATTACAAGGAAGGAGCATGGCGCCTTTTCAGGAATAAAATTACGCTTCCTCTATCCAACAATCAACATCCAAATAGCTCAGCAGAGAAGAATTTTTGGGACACGTACAGTGTATCTGGTCTATATAATCCATGGACAATGGAAACCAACGAGGAGAAAATGCGAATTATATTATCCAATGATCAATCATTAGAGGAATATTATATATAATACATTTCAATGCACGCCGGATTGTTAATTTAATCTGGAAGATCTTCACCGAAAGAATAGAGATTCAGCAAGTAGGCGAGCAAGTTCAAAACTTAAAACTGTAGTTATCACCTGAACATGAGACCCACCAACTCCCCACTTCACCTTTGCCGCCCCCTTTTTAATGCTCTGTTCTTATCTCATGTGAAATGTAGATAGAGAAAGCAACAGAGATACATACATGGATGACACTAAAACTATATATATATATATATATATAGAGACACACACACACAAGAACACAACCACTTAACCCATGAACTTGTCGGCACGTTAGAACAAACAATATAGTAGTTGTGTTGATGAAACTAACCGTGACAAATTTGATTCGCTGCAAAACGCGTATACAGAGAAACCCCACATCCTCAGGGAATACGCAATCTTTCTTTGAATGCCAGCTCAGTTCGCATATCTGATACAAGAGGGTTAGCTTTAAGAAGGAAATATATATATATATATATATATATATATATAATACATACAAATTGCAAAGAGATGCTTGTGATTCTCTTAAATAATTAACCAGAGTTTTAGCAGTTCACAACAATTTTGCTAGTATTCTGGTCTTTTAGGTCTCCGACCACCTTTATGTTTCCCAAAAATAATGCTCTAATAAAAAGGTAACCAAATGATTGGCTATGATTGGGACATTCTTTAATGAGCATGAGCTTTGGATTGATTAAGAATGTGAAAAGGTATTTAGCTAATCACAAGAAATGGAGAGAAACGGACAAGAACATGCAAGGCAGACTATAAATTTGTAACCAACATTCTTATATTAGTGCTAAACTACCATTATTGTAAGCATAATACTATTCATTATTTTTATTTATTTTCACCACCAAAACCAACCCATAGAAAAAAAAAAAAAAAGAGGAAAGAAAAGAATGAGAAAACACAGCATTTGAGGCACCTGGTCCCCTGGGGCTACCTGTTTATGGCCCACTGCCAACCTGCAACAAGTTGTAAAGCATATTCAACGAAGAATCTGATCAACGTGTGTATATGATCTGCAAAAGCACTCCTTTTTATTTTCTCATTCAATTCTGCATGCCCTTCAGGGTCTGTAAAAGTGAAGTAGCATCACAAGAATAATTTACTCATGGAGGAGACTGAAGAGGCACTTTGGAAGGAAACAATAAAGATCACCCTGCAATTGGTAGAAAATACATGAATCAAAAGCTGGAGGCGAAAAACCAGGACTCATGCCTAGAAAAGTGCTGAGATGGCAACAACCACTTGGCAAGTTGGCATGACGTGAACAGTATCTTGCATTGTTTCAGAACTACGGAAGCATAAACTTGTCCATAGACCAGAACTTCAATGGACCAGAACCTTACCTAACAACTGGATGAGTGAATAATGTTACTGTAAAGTACGCATGATGATTGTATTTTGCAATTACAGAATCTTGGGGTTTGGGTAGCCATCGCATATAAAGTTTAATCTTTATCATTCCATTCTATATGCTGAAGAAGAAGATAGAGATGGAAAAGTAGACGGACAGAAAGGAAAGGGAGAATTTCCCAATCACGATGATCTTACTAAAGTTTTTGCAGGTGCTAAGTGCAATCTAACCATCGTTTATCATATTAACCCAAAAGGCTCCACAGAAGAGTATTCAAGCAAGATGTTCCTAAACAAGAAATGTCCACATAATTTATTATATTAAAAAAAGGAAACTTAGATATAGGTATAAGGTTTTCCTATCAAGTTTCCTTATAAAACTATGACAATGTCAGTCGTTTTTTCCTCTTCTTCATTGAAAGAATTAGTTATTAAGAAACTTTCTTCCGGTCTATTGTTATTGGAAAACCTAATGGTAAACAGTGGGAAAATTTTACCAGTAAGATTTTGTCCTCTTCTCGGTGAGTAAAGTTATGAAAAAAGATTAGAATAGAAGATTCCAGAGATTGGATACCATGTATCTGACAAATTCGTTATTGCTTCTGACTGAAGAAAAACTTGGCCTGAAGAAATTCAAGAAGATTTGTTGTTGACCTTTTCAAGTCAGCAATAAAAAATGCAGATCAAATGTTCAGCTTGAGCTATGCAAATTTAGGACAAACCATAAAATGAATCTCAATGATTCATGAGGTTGGCACTTATAAGTAACATAGTGAAGATAAGTAATTATAAAAACCATGTTCACATGAAATTGCAGGAGCTGGACATGTGTGTAACATCCATGCAATTAAAAAAGAAATGTAGCACATAACAGCTGGATCAAGCTTAATATGACCTATTGAAGTGGTGAAAGCATTGCCGTCTCAAAAGTTGGGTATGACCTTCAGAAGAATCTTCTTTCCTTCAAGCCAGCAGATTGTACCAAGCCCTGATCCATAAGAAAACTCGATGATTTGTTTTATATGTACACTCTGAATCATTATCCTAGTTGCCACTTGTTGCAATTCTGAGGATCATCAGCAAATCGATTTAGTAAAGTAACAGACTACCAATACACGTCATTGAATTGCCCTCAATCAACCATTCGTTTGCTTGCTCCTAATTTTCCTAGCACAACTGTTCCATAACTGACCAAAGATTCTGTGAAAGACAAATACGAGTCAATTTGAGTGTGAAAGGGCATGAAACTCCTCTGCATTAAATTACAATGAAACTCAGGTTTCAATTCTTGGAGTGAGAAGCAATATTTCAATGAGCGCTGCAAGAAACAAGGATCCTAACCTTCCTAATTTTGGGGTGAATGTTCAGAAGGGATGCAGTGATTTAGGACAAATCCGTTGAGGAGAAATGAACACAATGTGCAGATTTTTTTTATTTTTTACGAGATGGATTGACATAGCAGTGATTTGCCGGGGAATGTTCATGGGCTACCCACAAGAGATCTTGGTGTTTTCTTTATAAGTCTCGAGGACAATAAAAATTTAAATGGTTTTGGAAAGTTAGGGGCTAAAAGTGGAACAAATGAAAGTTAAGAGATAAAATAAAACTCCAGGCTAAGTTAAGGCATCAAATTTCACCGGAAAAATAAATATGGGATAAAAAATGTATTTGACATTTTCCCCTCAAGAAAAGGAAAAGGGACTTACAGTGCCAAACAACGCAGTTTGGCTGATAGAGTGTCAAGTATCTTGCAGAAGTAGCTGAAGTGTTTCTAAACATCTCATTCAAGGTAGCCATACAGCTAACATATGCAGAACGATAATGAATTGGTAATGGTTTGTGGAAAATGCTGGTATGCTCGAGATTAACAATAGACCAAAGCACTTAACAAAGACCTCAAAAGGTATGGCCAAGGTTGAGTCCGGCTATAGACGGGGTTATCCATTGTCTACTGGAATGACAACCAATACGAAATATAGATTTCAGAGCTATAATAAGTGAAAAAGCTATTATCTTTCAATTAGATGGTCATAAGAAGACTGATCGGGAGATTATTCTACCAAGAATAGAAACAAAAGGGGTGAGGGCAAATAAACTAACCAGTGTTCATCAATCTCAGAATTCCAACAATATCAACAGTGGCTAAGGGTGATAATGCTCTCATGCCATCGGTAGCCTTTTTTTTTTTTTTTTTTAAACTTCCATTGTTATTTATGACCAGAACACCATCAGCTGAAACAGCATTGTCCACTAGTCCACTTACGCCTTGTCTTCACTCTCATTCTCCCTATCCTCATTTATCTCTTGAGAATGTAAAGGTAGGACACATTTAGGACATTACTCATGTGAAAGAAACTAAAGCAAATCAACACTAGCGATGCTGTAAATAAAACCATTTTAGACAGCAGCATGCGGCAGACAAACATTCAATTAACAAAAAGCAAACAAAAAAAGCTTGCAGAGCAATTGGTTCAGGTGACTTAAAAGAGCTCATTCTTTCA